AGTGTCTTGCTAATATCCTCGGTACCTCTGGGAGGAGCCAGGGTACCTTCCTCAAAAATCCGGGACTCGGATTGGATACACTACTTGGCCCCCCTTTTCCCATTGGCTACATTTTTACTGTTGGCCTCGACTTAATTTATTTAAAGTCATCAGGATGGTGTGACTTTCTCATTATCTTTATGGGCTTCGTTTTATGTGTTTGTCCCAGTCGGTTACAGGGTTGTCCCATCCTCCTGGTGACAACATACCATTATTCTTACTTAGAAATTAATTCTTGATAATATGTATTTTTGCCTGTTCCCTTATGGGATGGTCAATAATTACATTAAAAAAATTAAGTTATAAAACTCAAAACCATTTTCTTTAACATGCCATATCATGATTAACAGTATATCATAAGATAGATAATTTCATGTGGGTTATGAAATAATTAACATTATTCCTCTTCATCTCAACACGCCATGATGAAGGGAAGAGAAAGGTATGGAAAATGTTAGAGTAGAAAGGGATGAGATTCCTGCAACTCTTTTTTAACACCTCAGGAGGAATACACAGTATATTTCCTCCTTTCCCTCTTTTGTTATAATGGGCTTCCCTTTTTTATCACCGTAAAAGTCAGGTGCGTTTTTAGGGAAACAAAGAGTTCTTCCCTGTAGAACTAGGAGGCGAAAAGGGTGGAAGGCCCTACTCTTCACAAGAATCATACAGCACCGCACATGGGATAGCCATGAGAGTGAAAATTCTCCAATAGAAAACTACAATGTAGAACATACACATTCACTACTCAAGTGACACCTGCCAGGCACGACACAAGACATGCCCTCCACACCTCATAATTCGTGAGTGAAAGTTTCAGGGATGAAGAAGAAACTGAAAATTAAGACTGATAGAGAACGACGACAAAGAAGAAAAGAGAAGCCCTCTACTGTCATGACTCAGAACGCGAGTGTCAACTTTGGTATGTTGGCATATCCCTGGTCGGCCCCTCCCAAGTCTGCACGACAATGTTGACTTAACGTTGATAACATGTTGACGATGTTGAGAGGGCGTTGATGCTGATGATTCAATGCATAGTCAACATTGCATCAACATATATCGGGCGAGACATCTAGCAAGACATTCGAACAAAGGTTTCCTGATCCCGATGTGAGATGGCGCCAAATCGCTAACTCTGGGATTTACCTCAAATGCAACTGGCACGCGTCCACAGTACTTTCGGAACGGTACTGACTATTTTCTCTAAAGACAGCCCTGAGGGACGTATATGAATTCCTGGATATAATCCACGAAAGAGGCAGCACAACCCAATTAGATCCTTCGTAATACTGGTCCAGGGAATGGAGAGAACGAAGTTCACGTGTTGATATGACTCCATGAGACCTCATTCACATAACTGCGAAAATGTATCTAAACTAATCCCTTTGGGTCGTGAGGAAGGGTTCATGAAGTGATTCTCAGTTGTCTCATTGACTGCAATCACTCTACATCTCCATCCTTCACCGAGACTCGCGCGTCCTGTCCTGCCCTCAACAAGTCCATGTCGAGATGGAAGAAGGGGTTGATATCTCGCTGTTTAACATGGAATACTCCCCTATCTGTCCATATGCGGCATTTGATCGGCGCATACGCAGTGCATGTTGAGAAATTGTTGAGACGTCTCATTTCAACGTTGAGTCAATGTTGGTTCAATGTTTTTTTCAATTTTCTTCAACATTAACTCAACATTGTGCATGTTGAGACTTCAATGCTTTTACAACGTATCAACATTGATGTGCAGACTGGGTATAACGGTTTATAACGATATAAACCGTCATAAACTGGTATGATCAAAAAGTTCCGTTCCGTTATATCGTTCCTTCTCTCTCATTCATATTGTTCCGTTCTGGTTAACCGTTCCGTTACGTTCCAGCTCCGACGCCCTGTTTGCATTTCGAAGGACTTATCCCGCAATCCTTTCAGAGGTGGACGTTGATACCTCAGATCACTGACTACAGTGACTACTAATAATTTAGCAGGCTGCAAAGCATAGATAACAAATAGAAACACCTACTTTGTGCTCTTCTGGTTAAAGCCAAAGCAAACTGGTTGCTTCCAGTTCTTGAAAATTCATTTGGCCATTGCAACCATGAGTTGTTTGTGCGGTCCAAAAATTCTGTTTTACTGTGAATCTTGGCAAAGCCTGGAGTCAATTTTCATCTCATCATAGCTGATACAATACACTATCCTTTTCTGGCAAGACGTCTCCATGGAATTTCATGAGCCGTACTGTCAGAGAATTCCTGGCTCACGAGAGAGGTGACAAATTCAAGCTTTTTGATTCTGGCCAATGATGGCAAGGAAATTAATTGCGAGACATGACCTGACATAATCATACACCTTTGCCAACATCATTTTCAGCGGTATTGAACGTTTGAAATCTTCAATTGACCATTTCTTTGGTCGGGACCTTACTTTGAGCATATACAATTGAGTACAGGGTGTCCCAGAATTAATTGCCAAAAGTAAACGCTTGCCGTTCAAACATCGCGCAATGAAACTCCACAAAAATTGGTATACATATAGATCTTGACCTAAAATTTTAATGTGGAAAGTTTCAGTCATTCTCAGATGAAGATGAATTTTTTTTTTTAATGGTACGTTTTTCGAGGTCGCACTTTTTGTACCTGAAGGTAATTCAAGCATTGTTTGATATAACTCCACCAAAATTGGCATGTGTATGGGGAATATCATGAACTTTTACTTGCCAAATAATCAAATCATTATATCAATTCTGCGTTGATTAAGAGTTCTCAATGTGCTCGCTACCATTTTCAATGATGAGAATCAGCCTCTCCCTGAAACAGAGCAAGTTTCTTACGAAAAAATCGGGAGGTAGGGATGCGCAAGCTGTTTCGATGGCCTTCTGTAGTGAGTTTAGATTCTTAAGCGGTTTGGCGTACACCAGCTGCTTCAAATTCCCCAAGGCGAAGTCGCAGGAGATCAGGTCTGGGCTTCTCGGAGGCCAGGAGATCGAACTCTTAATCAACGCAGAATTGATATAATGATTTGATTATTTGGCAAGTAAAAGTTGATGATATTCCCCGTTCACATGCCAATTTTTGTGGAGTTCCATGAAACGATGCTTGAATGGCGCGCGAGCTTTACCTCCAGGTTCAAAAAGTGCGAACTCGTAAGACGTACATTTTCAAGAAACTGCTTTAAAAAAAACATTCATCTTCACCTGAGAATACTGAAACTTTCCACTTTAAAATTCTAGGTCAAGAACTATAGGTATACCAATTTTTGTGGAGTTTCATTGAACGATGTTTGAATGGCAAGCGTTTACTTTTGGCAATTAATTCTGGATTTTGTATTTGTATTTGTGAGGAAAGATTTTCTAGTCGTAGCGGCACTTTTTTTTTTTTAGGTCTTTGATGACTTTTTTCTTTGTTGCATTATCTGTGTGAATATAGTTTTTCTAAGCCTCAGTTGCTCCTGTGCTCTCTTCAACTTCTCGCGAAGGATTTCTACCTCTAAACAATGAGCATCCACGGTCTTCCGGTGCGACGATTTTCATTGTTTTCATTACCAAGAGATGAGGAGACCTGCTGGTCCTCCATTTCTTGAAATCGACCGTCAGAGCAGGCATGTAAGGTGAATGTGGGAGATTTCGTTGGATCTAAGGCCAAATTATCTATCGCAACGGCTTCTTTTTTTCAAGCGCCTTGTAGCATTTTCATCATGACAGGAATCTAAGGAGAAGTGATGCGAGCACACGGAATGATACCTGGGAATATATTCCCCTCCCAGAACTGAAGCTATTCATTTTTTCTGCCTAGAGTTTGGAAAATCATGGAAACATTTTCTGGTTGCCGATTCCTGTAAGTATTCTTATAGTATGCGTCAATGCAAACCTCGTCACTGCCCTTCATAAATAACAATTGGTATTAAGAGAATGAATGAAAATAATGAACCTAAAATATGTTCGAAATCAACAAACAGATCAGCAATGTAAGTACAATTCTGCCAACGGTTGTTCTGACAAACGCGAGTAGACGGTATTATGGCTGTGAGAGACGAGAGGTAGAATGCGTGCGACCTGTCCAAAGCTCCCGCTTTTATAGTGGAACGGCTCGCTGACGTCATCACATTCGCAAGATTCTACCCCCTCTCATCAACCCTCCTTGGGTGTCTACCTTCACTTTTCAGATTTGGAATGCGAGAAGTCCCGCATAAGTGAAAAGCCAGAATGGAAATGGATCGCCGTGCTCGCGCTCACACAGGCGTCATGTATATATTTCATGACCATCACATGCCTTCAGAGTGAAAATAGAAAGTCGCTTTTATTTAAACGCGACATTTTTTTCACTTTATTAGCGTTTATTTCAGTATGACTAGAGTAGGAGTGTGTTTCTCATTCCATCAATTCGCATTAGTCATAGCAACCCGGTGCAGGGGAGTAAATCAGACATCTACGTTACTCTTTTTATTTTAGAAGCGATACCACTTAGTTGACGATATTTGGGTAGTAGCAACTGGTCGTAATGTCTTTGCTGGCCATTTGTATGAACAGCAGTGGATTGGCAGAGTGAGATCGTAGTTATTCATTCTATACTGGTACTTTGTATCTGTACCCGTTAGATACATTTAGGTACATACAAACACAAATTGAGCGCATGAGGCAGGCCTGCCTCTCTCAACCATTTCAGCAAACAAAGCAGGCGGGACTCGATTTTATTTCTGTTGAAAGAATCTTGCGAAAACACTATTCCCTGTCCATGACGACAACACCGTGTCGGTCAGAACGGAGCTGGATCTTCTTGTCGCTAAAGCATCCTTTCCTGTAGGACCTCACCGAGTTGATCCCCCCTAGGGAGAGGTTCGGGATAAAGCCCACGTACATTCCAGCCTCGGGCACTAGGCAATGCTCGATCCCAGCGAAGTTCGGGAGCCTGTCAGACACGCATTTTCTACGGCGATTCGACACCGGATATGCAAGAGCAATCGACAGAAACGAGGACTCACGAATAGACTGTCCAATCACTTTCACCCGAGATGATGATGGACTGTACGCTGGACATCGGTACATTGGATGAGTCTATCAAGTCTAAATGAGCACTGCCCGCGAATACAGTGAGTCCATAAAGCGTGATCGCGTCTTCCTTCCAGTTGTCTTGACGTCCTACATACCTGCAACGGGAACACGTGCATCAACGATATATCGCCATCTAGGGGATGATGTGGACCTACCTGAGGGATGAGACATCGTTGTCGGTGGGCCCCAAGTTCCAACAGTAATTATCTCCAAACACCCATTCAACTGTTCCAAAGTCCCCAGAGTTGTAGTTTCTTTCGGAGTAGAATATCCAACTGGAAGGAAATGCATTGAGAAAGGATGATTGCATATACTCTGTGACACCGAGAGGACATCTCAATGGTCCCAGATGTGGCAATTATGCACTGGTTTGGCTTATTGCAGGGACTTTTGTCTCCAGAAAATCTTCGCTTGAAGATCAGTACTCTAAAATATTGCTAGAGTTGCGAAGAAGAAATGAAAGACATTTCCGCGGAACCTTTCCATAGGCATTAGTCCAGCTCTTCCCACCCTCTGTCTGTGGCTATGCAATTCATCGGGCCAATTTAATTCAGGGCTCCCCTATAAGTCTTTCAAAGGGAGGTCTTCCAGCGAATCGATAATTTTAGTAAATAAAGTGGACGAGGGGCACTCACATTCCGGTGACGCAAGTGCTGGAGACCACGTTATCTCCAATAGTGGAGTCGCAAGTTCTGAAGTCTGGGCAATTCTCGGTTCTCTCACTCCAACTTCCGGCAAAATTGGCCAGGCTGTAGATCGTAGCCATCTGCCTTTGTGCCCAGCTCTTCCCTAAGCTAAATAGGATCAGAAGCGCAGCTGATAGCCTCATGGTGGATAGCTTAACCTTCCACGTTCCTTTCCCTTCCACTGCTATGATCTGTCTGCTACAGGTTTCAAGATCCCATAGGGGTTTAAATAATTTTTATCTCTGAAAATTCTCTCAGGTGGGACCATGTGAATCTGACATCGGTCTTGATATCAATTCAGGATATACAGGGCATGCAAGAAACCCTCAGACTTTTAAACTACATATTACTGGAGCTTTACTGGAGCTGTTTTCACAAAACTTGAAGTTTGCTAAATTATTTATATTCAATTGAAGGTTGAAATTTTCATCAAAATTTATTTTGTCTGAAAATTTGTTGCAGATGCTGAAGAGGACTACTTTGAAGGAAATAGGCTCCAGAAGCCGGAAGGAGTCACCACAACGTCATAAAAACGTCAGTATTGGAACTTTTTGATCAGACTTCGTATGAAAATAGGATGTAATTCTTTCACGATGCATATCCGCTTCAAGTTTCCTTTTTTTCCAGTAAGTGGTGTCGGCCAGGTGTTGTTGCAGTCGAATCCTGGGAATCCGCGCACTTGGGAGTCATCCGCCATGCGAGTACGTGGCACGTTTCCCTGGAAACATTTTTCTCTGGAAATCGCGAGGGGACACGAGTGAGTCATCTCATTTGGGAATTTCCCACGTACCACCAACCATGCTCATAATTCCGCTTGCGGGCTTCATTTAGGAGTAGGTGAGTCAATGTGCCGCCTTGACAGATCTCGGGTAATAATTTGCTTGCATTGGTGGCATTTCTTGAGCCAATCATCATAAAGGAAAATGACAGACATCTGCAAACATCAAGGTACTTCTGATTCGATCACAGGAAAAACCACCTTGTAAAATTCACAGCGGATGGACACATCCCGAATGTGGAAGACATTTATGTTATCTCTTTCTGAAAACAACACAAGGTTTTACTAAAAAGGCCTCTATTTTTGTATTTAAACCAAGCATGGCAGGTGATAGGGTAACTTAGGGGAATATGGCCATTGGGGTTATATGGCCTTTCGTTATGCATCCCCTAAAAGACTTAAGAATTAGTTTGGTCGATTTTTGAAATTAGTTCTATCGAAAAGTACATGAAATTTTCGAAATGTTCAGATTAGTTCATTAATTCAGTTCTCATGGGAATTCGGGATAATGTTTAATAACCATCAATCCTTAATAACGACTCATGATGCACATAAAATAAAATGACAAAAATTCTGAAAGGAGTATACTTTCTTATCCCCTTCAGATGGAATGAAAACTTTATTAGATGAACGCTTTTCCCAGTCCAGTTGTGGCGCAGTGAGAATTAAGATGGCATTCGGAGAAAAATCCTCTGAAATATATGTTCTGGAAAAAAAGTTTTGAAATCGGCGTTTGTTGTTGATTTTTGGTTCTTTTACTTGCTGATTTTTGCAAATGATTTTCTCCTTTTATTTTTTATATACCATGCACAAAGGTTTTTGACATTTAATTGAAAAGTTGAAAGAAGTTAAAGTGTACCTAGCACAGGGAGTGTAAATGTCAAGCTGGCACTGTGTCGCCGATCGACTATGTGATATCGTCTGTCTTGTGAAACCTGGTTAGGGAAGCGAGGTAAAGCGTTGGACCTAACTGAGGGCGCGGGGCACCATCTAGACGTTTGCAAGTCCCACATGTACGCACGCCTGAGAACGGGTCTCCGACCCGTTCTCAGGAGCGCACTCGTTGCACATTCACCAATCGTTGTGAAAAGTTCGTTGAACGAGCTGTTAATTAGAATTTTTTTTTAATTCGTACTTGAGGCGAACTTTTGTGGGATAGTTATTCCAATGTTTTTTTTTACCCTTGAAATGAAACGGGTAGACAGAAATGCCACGTTTAGTATAACTGTAGCTTTAGGAATATTCATTTCAGGGAAAGTCAAATGGGTCTGTTAGAGGTAGGAGGAATGGGTAATTGATAATTTTTCGCTTGACGAAAGCGATTCTTACAGTTGAGCTATGAAAGAAACTGGATAAAGGAAACATTCCAGGGGGGATATTTTGAGATAAAATAATATTTCCTTTCTCAATCAAACTTGTAAGTAGAATTTCGAGGAAGAGTTTCCTCTTACATGGAGATTTCCCATATGAGGTGACTCATTGTGTCCGCTCCGAATTTCCAGCGAAAAGTGCCACGTACTCGCTTGGTGGATGACTTCCACGTGCATGGAATCCCAGGGTGCGTTAGCGACAGCACCTGGGCCGACGCCACGTACTGGAGCAATGGAAACTTGAAGCGGATATGCATCGTGAAAGAATTACATCCTATTTTCTGAGAAAACTGATTTTTCACTTCTTGCTTTACACGAACTGTTCGAGAGTACATTTATGAAACTTGACATTCGTTCGATGAAAGGCATTTCACGGTAAATCTAAAAATTCATTAATATATTGTTCGTTAAAATGGTAAATGGCCTACAATTTAGTCTCGTATCATTGATAGCATCATCCTTGGTGAAAAACCTGCTCGCGTCTTCAGCTGGTAGGCTTGCCGGAATGCTCAAGTCAGTGTGACTGATTAGATAGTACAGTACTTGTGAAGGTTTCCTCGATTTCCTTGGTTTCTCATCTGATGCCGTTTATTGTCTTGCACTGTTATAACAAATATTTTTTTACTTCTCAAACCAACAATATATAATCTACGATGTCCTGAATATTTTGCTTTCTCCGAATTCTCTTCATGGCATAACAAAATACACAAATATTCTACTAGATCCTACAAACGCTGGTAAATGAACTTCACTCTTTCGAATCGGAAAAGTATATGAAATCCTGCCTCTTAGAGGTGCATGTATACTGTTGCTTAATGCAGTCAAACTTGAAATAAAAATATTTTCCCCAGTGCACGCTGCAGTTTTGTCGCATCATACATATTCGTACATATTGCCCAAATAAAACAAAATAAACAAAACATAATCATCCAATAAAGGAAAAAACCGAATTAGTAAATAAACCCAAAATAATTCGCATTGTAAATCACAAATTGACATCGACACATTTCTCATATTCATAAGTTCATACGAGAGTATCTAGACTGATAAAACTAACATTACTGGAATAAAAACTGTAATGGTCACTGTGGGACCTGGAAACCTGCAGCAGTCAGATATCACAGCAGTGGAACGGAAGAGAACGTAGAAGATTGAAGCTATCCACCATGAAGCTATCCGTTGTGTTCCTGCTCCTCTTGAGCTCGGGGAATAGCTCAGCTCAAAACCAGCAGGTTGTAACTTTCTACTATTTGACCGATTTCGGCATCTATTCTTTTGAATTAAACAAGAATTGTCCAGATGTGGGGACATGTATTCCCTGTCACGATGACATGACGGACTTCAGCTTCTGCGCTACTGGCATGTGAGTCCCTCACGTCTTCTTTTTTCAGGAGTCGGGATTCTTGATTCACTTTAAGGTTTCACCTTGCAGTACTTATGTACTGAGTCTAAAAGTGATTGTCACCAATGAATTCATTCAGATGGTCGATGCGCTGAAAACATATTGTTTTCGACTGTAATAATGGGAGTTATGAACGAAAGTTAGATAATAAGTTTCTGAAAAGCTAATATAATGAACCGCATCAACTTTTAATGCGATTTTTCTTAGCTGCATCAAACTTTGGCCGTGGTGCATCTCGACTACATTGGATTGCACTTCGTGACTCCCATATTGGTCTGACTCCCACCTCGCTCCCAGAGTAACATGATCAAGAAGCTCGGTTAAATTCCCTATATTAGAAAAACGCAATGCGACGTTAATAATGTAATCTTGCCTCAAACTTGCAGGAAAAATGGTTGCAAATACTTTCTGAGAGAAGAGAAACACGCCTCATGGCAAGCTCATAGTGGATGGGTTAAAAGGGGGCCAGTGAGAGGAGAAGAGAGCCTTTCGAAGTGCCTTTTGAACTTGAAGAGCTCTTTGTATAGGAGCTCCATTGAATAGGGTGCCCTCAGGGTGTGGAAGCATCAATCTCCTTGGGTGCAATGGAGCGACAAGGGAATCCAGAATGCATCTTAAAAATTTATATATTCGTCCTATCCCCGTTTCATCTTGCTCTTAATTCGTTTTGGCCACTCCAGTGTGGTTCGTGTGATAAGGTAAGGTCTGAAGGACTCGAAAATCCATCACTAAAATGTCATTTTGACACCATTTTACTTTGAGAGAAAGAAATCTTGCTACGAAAGTAATTAAAGTGCATCGTGCTGATGCACCAATATTTTCTTGCGTCAACCACCAGGCTTCTTTATGGATCCACAGAGAGCGATGCATCGCTATGGAAAGCCAATGCCAATTCTTGGTGACTTTCGCGTGAAATGCCCTAAGACTCCTGGGGTCTATTCCACAGAATATTTAAAATTTCCAAGCTCCTAGTTACATGTAGTTGCAAGGGTCGTGTCTTCTTTTTCAACTCTTCGAGCGGGTCCCGCTGACACTTGACGCGGTCAAGGCATGACCCTTGCAACTGCTTGTAACTTGTAGCTCGTAACTTGTAAATCTTCTGTGGAATAAGCCCCTGGCAGCAAATTACAGTGCGACCGACTGAAGGGCTTTGCCATGAGCGGGTCACATCCAAGCAACCATATGCTCGGAGATTCGAAGTATAGAACCGCGCCATGACGGTTTGCGTGACGTCTCCACAAGGAAGGCTCCCATTGGACGGTGCTCTCCCTATCGCCTAGTGCGCCTCATGCCATAGGGGAGGCCCCTCCATTTAAACACTCTATGGAAAAGCCACGTAATCCAGTCGTCAAACTCGCTGGTTGTTCCTTATTCCAAATTCAATTTAAAGCTAACTAGAGTACCTGGCCTGGTACAGATCTGTCATTCCACTCTACTAATATTCCACTCCAATATATTAGATATATCGTATGTAACTGTAATTATTATAAAAAGGTCCTTTATACGGTTCTTAGTTTGCAATATAGATGGTCCCTGTTTGCATTATTCATGGAAGATTGAGGCAGAGACCATAGAGTGTATACTCGTATATAGGGTGATTCAAAAGTCACCTATATTTTTTTGCTGCCGTATATGGTATCAATCGATTTTTCTGCTCCTCCTGAGCAGTTTGGTATAATATTAGTGTGGGGTGAAAGACACTTCGTAAGGAACGACCGAAAAAGAGTCATAATGACTCTTGGTTACTCCACACCAAATCGACCAGAGGTTGAGCTCGACCATCTTCGATTTTTGATTTAAAAAAAATCTGTGTGCACGTAGTTGAATTAATTAGAAGAAACTAATTCTAGATATTTTTTTTTATCTCGCTCCGATCTCGAGATATATGCATTTGAGTGTCACCCACTTTTGGCTCCTGGCCCCCATATGGACTGGAATTGTGAGACTTTTTTGTTATAGCTTCCCTTCTATTCGAGATAAAAGCTTCGTTATGGTGTCATTTTAATTGTGAAACTGCCTTCTTTTGACTGCTCTAAGAAATTATTCTCCGAAGCTAAAACAAGAACTTCAACTTAATCAAACAGTTTGATTAAGTTCAGTGGAAGATACAGTACCGCCAGAAAGTTTGAGGCAGGTGGGAAAATTTCGCAAGTCATAAGAAATATGAAAAAAATCTTGCGTTTTTTTTTCTGAAAATATAATTTTACTTAGTTTACGTTATGAACATACATATTTGTGCAAAAAAGCAAATATTTTTCATTTTCAATTCAAATTTTACTTAAATTGAAATAACCACCACAATTTTTATAACGGCAGCACAGATTCTGGGCATTCTTTTGATCAATTTTTCTAGTGTAGCAGATGGAAGGCCGTTCCAGCATAGTTGCAGAATGTCCCAGAAATTTTCGGTGGATGATGTTTGTCTTTGTCGCTTTCTGCGATCAGTTCTTCCCACAACAATTCAATTGGATTCAGATCGGGCGATTTTGGTAGCCAGTGCATTATTTTTATAATTTTCCGGCGCTTCAACTCGTCCAAACAGCTCTTATAGATCTTGCCACTGTGTTTCGGATCGTTGTCATGCAAAGTCACGTATTGGCCTCTGAACAGCTTCGTGCCAGAAGCAAATAATTGCCGTTTCAAAAGTCCCTGAACGCTTCTTTGGTCATGATTCCCTCGATGCGATGAAGACTTCCTACTTGATCACCACCAAGGCAACCCCACACGATTACTGAACCAACTCCATGCTTGACGGTGGGCACCAAGCACTGTTCTGCAAATCTTTCACCATCTGTGCACAAAATCTCGACGTTTGCAGCTAACGATTTCGTATTTGGACTCATCAGTCCAGACCACTCGTTTCCACATTATGACTGTGAAATCCTTATGCTGGAGAGCTCAATCCAGTCTTCTTACTAACTGGACGCAGCAGTGGTTTTTATGCAGCCACATGCCCATGTAGTCCGAACTCCTTTAAACGGTTTTTCACCGTTGAAGTACTGATGAGAACATCATTGAATTGAATTGGGTTGGAAAGAAAGTCTTGCAACACTGCGCAAATTTTTCAAAATTTTATAACTTTATTGAAATGCAATTTCAGATAAACGGTTTTTCACCGTTGAAGTAACACCATTGAATTGATTGTATAATGACGTGATTTTACCAGCCGTCAGTCTTCTACCTAATAAATAAATGTTCCTAATTTCAATATCTTGCCGTTTTGTTCTTTTTTTCGATCTGCCGGTTCGTTTTTAGGTCTCATGAGTAGAAAATCTCTCGAAGCGCCTCAAAGTTCTTTGTATGCAGCAACGAGAAACGTTAATATTTGCTGCAATCTGAACTTTCGAGTATCTTCCCTCTGAATAAAGATTCTTTCTCTTTCTGTAACAGTTAGATTTAATATTTTACCCATTTTCGAGACTTTAAAAAAAATTGAAAATTGAATCTGTCTCCGAATGCACTTTGCGAGATCATTAGCAGTATAACTGTTCCAGATAGTAAAAAATGTAGTAATTATAACAAAATTAATTAAATATAATATTTACTAGATGAAACCTTTTCAAAATGTAAAAACTTTGAACGTTAATTCACTTTAAAGTGAAGCTAGAAATAGAACGCGAAACGTGTCCCTGCGTGAAATCGTGAATAATTTGAAAATAAAGTGAATAATAACAAAGAAAAGAAAAGTTTCGGGAAATAAAAGCTACAATAAATCATTTACATTCCGTTTGAAAAAAGAGCGTCGAATTTTTAAAGTCTTCTTCTTGAAAAAGGATCATTTTTGCAACCTGCCTCAAACTTTCTGGCGGTACTGTATGTGGAAGGCAAAGTCGGCAAAGGCCCTCCTTCTCCCCCCTCCAAAGAGCCTAAAGTTGAGAAATGTGACAACAATGGGTTGGAATTCTCTTTACGATTCCTGTAGTCCTGCGAGTCCCAGTTCTCTTGGACGTCGGCGTTGTCAGGAGGAACGGGTGAAGCTAAATAAACGAAAGTTGTTTTCCATAAGTGCTTCGCATTGTGTTATTGCTTTTCGGTGATAAGTGTTTGAGTGTGCGTAATCATTCCAACCTCGTGTTGGATTTGAAAGGCCACCACAACTTCCTCAAAATATGAAAAAAGTCACTTGTATGACAGTCATGAAATCATCTGGGGATTGAATAACTGAAAAAAAGGGTAATGCCTGGTACGTGTCTCCAGAGCTCTTCTAGCATTCGTGGATGCCATTGCAGTCCGAGGGTGGTAGGGAGCCAGGTGGGGAGCCTGGGGAAGAGGCGAGAGATGGTTCTTCAATATCCTATCCTAGTCGCCCGACTTCCACAGTCGAAGTACTGTATGTGCGAATTTGAAGTCCGTGTTAAAATCTTGTTTTTGACACATTAAACAAATACAAATCTTTAGGTGCGTGTTGCCAATATGCATCTGTATTACGCAGGAGAGGTAGGACTGGACCATAATTAACCTTGTCCCTTTTGAAATCGTCGCTGTAAAATTGCGGATTGAAACTCTTTCTCTATTCAGGAAGAAAAGCAGACATCTCAGAAGTTTGAGCCTGCTTTCTCGTTTTGTCTCGTCCCGACTCGTTTTGTGAATCCAATTTCCTACGACTCAGGCTTGCTTCTTCGATCTGATGAAGAGAATCGGACTTTTTTTCACAAGTCCATGAAATCGTCCTTCCTTGCCTATCCTCAGATCTCCAGCGTGATCAGTCTAAAGAAAAATAGCCAGCTTTGAAGCTTTTGCTGATCATTGCCTCCGCATGTTCTATGTTCACCATATGCCTGCATACTTCACCCCAATGCAGAGGACAGAGGACAGCAGACATGATTTGAAGGTTTTCTAAGATCTGACTGCCCAAGATCACACATGTTCCGTCCTTCTCAAGTAGGAATGACCCTCGAGGAAACCAATAACAGATTCGTGTGCAGCATCCAGTTTCCATAGTTCAAAAAGATAATACTTTCAAATCATGATTTAAATCATATATTGAGTGAAATTTACATGCATCAAGACTGCAGGATCATCTATTCCATCTGTCTCTTCTAATAACTCGAAATGTATTAAGATTGCATTTCCAGTTGTTACACGAGATTAGTTGGAAGGATATTAATTAACCTATGCTCGCCCACAACTGACTTCATTCCGGGACCATGGCCATTCTGGGTCAACAGAATTTTTCATACTTGCCTCGGAATGACTGACTTTTAGCAATATATTTCCAAGATTGCACTTCATGCCATGAGACTCGTCCAAGGAACATGGATGCAGTCATGCTTGCGTCGAAGCAGTGTTCACATTTTGAGGACACAATCACATTATGGAGATGCAATTTGCAAGCGTTCCATTTTTGGTGACGCGGATGGAAAAAGCTGGGAGGAGGGGGGGGGGGGAGCACGAAAAGTCTGGGACACTGTTCCGATGCATTTAAGGCGCCATTTTCTTGTTAATTTTTTTTAAGGGGGGGAAGCCACGTGTTCAATTTTCCCCCCTTGGAACACTACGCCGCTAAGTTCCAATACTCGATCTGGGGAAAGAAAAAAAAAAGAGGGTGAGCGCGGGGGGCCGACATACGAGGTATTGCAGTTTTTATGGTAGAGATGCACTTTTTTTTTTTTTAGATCAGTTCCTGTTCCAGATATCTGGAAAGGAAAACACGTATGTCAGTTTCGAGTTATATGCTCCTTCGTATTATTCAGATAAGCAAAGATTAGCTGTAATAAAGATATCATGGAAGAACTGAACTTACGCAATAAACCATTATGTGAAGCAGCAGGTCGCCTCTTGTGGCGGCGTCAATTTGAAGATTCACAGAGTCGTGGTTCAGTACGTGAATGACATTGATGAAGCAAGTAAAGTGAAACGATTCTGAAATCGTTCAACTCTGACCTGGATAAATTGAATTCCAGAGGATCCAAAGACCTTGGATGAGAGATAATAAAACATGAACAAATATAGGAGGAAGAAGAAGCGACAGTCTCATGTTAAGGCGAATACTTCAGATAAAGCAGCAATGCGGTGGGAGGGGGGGAGGGGTTTCGTCGTGATAACGCTGACACGACAAAAACATGCCGTCACCATCCTTGCATCAACTGATAGATAACCCAAGCGCTCCACTCTGCGTACTGTCACCTATACTTTCTTTGTATGTGCTGGGAGACGGAGAGTGGGTGAATGCAGTGGATGGGAACGTCTCCAAGCTTCCATGGATCCGGCCAGCTATGAAATACTGCACCAGGCTTTCAGCATCATACTGGCGTTGGTGGTCGTTGCTGGAAATTTTCTACTGTTGGCAGTGCATCTGTTTCGTCGTGATCCCAACCGATGGAGACCTATGAATACTTTCATGGTCTCTATTGCCACTGCCAGTTTCATCATTGGCATCCTCATTCCGTTCCAGCCTGGGTACTTCATCAGGTGAGTTCCCGAATTGACATAGCCTCATGTTGAATTTAAATCAATAGTTCGGCGTCATAATCTCGCATGACTTGTGATTTCTTTTTGTCTCAGCACCTACACTCCCCTAAAGAATGCCCTGAAACCATGCACGGTATTGAAGTGGTTAGACATGCTGTTTCTAACGGCTTCTGGGAACAAAGTCCTGTGCATGACGGCAATCGCAGCCGAGAGATACCGAAGTGTAGTCAACGTGCGGCGTATTGAGAGTGGTCCCAAGACCAAGACGGCCATCGGCGTTGTGGCTGCCGCATGGATCATTAACATCGCCTATAACCTCGCCAGTTACGCATCTCTCAGCCTCGGAGAAATGCGAGTGAATTTGTATAATTCCAGCCTCAATCATGTTGCGTTGGACTTGAACTCGAGGGGAGAGAGGGTTGGAGAAGACCAATCTCATTTCATCACCTTCTGTTACTTCTCATTGAACGATGGGAATGCCCTGATCGCAGTCGTGCATTCCTTGTCTTTCGTCTTGTTTTTCGTCCTGCCGTTGTTCTGCATGGCTCTGCTGTACCTTCTGACGGCCATTCACTTGCATCGTCTTTCGATGACGGTAAATTCCAAGCGGCTCCTCGACGCACGGTGGTGCACCATCAAAGCTCTCATTACCATCATTGTCGTGTTCATCATTGTCTGGCTTCCAGCGCATATCTTCAATATGCTCTCCTCTTCCGTGGAAAGGAACATCGTAGACGCACATCGTATGTCGCTAGTGAATTTCAAGTGGCGGGTTCTCCATGACGTCTGCCTCGGATTCCTCTTCTCTGAGTCCTGGATATACGTCGTCGTCTACGCTCTCTTTGTGGACAAATTTACGCAAAGGATCGTGGATCTATGTCGGAAGAAAGTGCAGCGTCGGTTTTCTAAAGCCTTGCATGCACCATCTCGAGCAGGAAGCGACTTGAATTCGTTTTCGAGGCTCTACTCCAATGCTGAGCGCGCCGAGAATATCCCTCCGGCTGAATCGCACCATGATTCGGGAGAGAAACAGAACCAGAACAAGCAGGCAACAATTGATTGGGTCCCAGAAACATCGCAACCCATGTCTCCAGGATGAGAAGACAGAAAATTAGTTTAAATGAAGTGTGGAAAAGCCGCGTGCTATGTGAATTGTTCAGTTATTTTTCTCTCACTACACAACGCAAGGAAGTTTTTGTGAAGAAATAGTGCTTATATGTTGATACAGGAACTTATGAGAGGTAACAGAGATAAGGTAAATTCTTATCTCAGTGGCTTGAAGGGTATTCAGAGGGTTGACTGCTCGACTCGGACGCTATACAATGAGAACGCATTGAGGCGGGGGAAGTAAAATAGTATTGTGCAGCCTTGGACTTCCAACAAGAAATATTTCGTTACCTGTCATTTATTGCAAACAACCTCTTAGAATTAGTCAAGATTCAGTCATTCTGGACAGAATTTTTCGGAAAAACGTAGTTTAGAGCGTTCTTGGTCGCTACAACTCAGAACTAACGTGTATCCCACACCCAAAAAAAAGTATGACTGGAAACAGCTAGGGCAACTAGTGCAGGTCTTACATTTGCAGGATTTTTCCTGCCGGAAATTTTCCCATTTAAATAACCTAACTTCCGATGGTAAGCAGGAAATGCAGTACCTGAAAACTGTTGCATTGGTCGGATGCAATTACATTGCAATAAACAGACAATTTTTTTGCGGAATACGGGCTTTGTGCTTAGGTTTGAAAATAGAAGCATCCTTTGTTGAAATTTTAAGCAGAAATGGACAACGTTGCCACTAAAACCAACGTTGCCGTGAAAACTTCATGATGCACCCAAGAAAGTGAGGGGAATTCTTCATGGAACAAGTTGCTACATTACCAGAGGGTATGTAAACTCTATGATCCATCCAGGAAGGCGAGGGGAGTTGATTCATGGAAGAATTATGGAGCTTCCGTTGAGAGGTATTCGTAGGTCTGAATTTACTTTCAAGTTGCTGTACTCGTCAGTCGTATGAAGCATGCTTCTTCTACAGATCCGATTTCCTTTAACGGCCGACTGGAATGAGTTGAAATCCCAACAATTGTTTTTTTTTTAAATTATCATTAACATGTTTTCAGGTTTTTCACATAGATATGCACGCCCATCATTAATCTGGGAAATCATGGAACGCTCGGAGTAATTCCGGAATCAAGTTACAGAACTTGTAAATCATATTACTAAAATCTCTGACAGTACTAATTTTATCTAACCCTGCCATGAATGAAACTGTTTCCAAATTATCCCCATCCGTGACTTTCAATTGGCAGCAGTGATGTACGAGTAATGTAGTACAAGGCACTTGTGCTTATTAGAGGTGAAATGTAAGAGTGACGTCCAACATTATCCAGGATGTCAGGATGTAGTCTCTCATGCTGGAATTTTCTTTCCACAAGGCAAAAGTTCTTGCAAAGAAAGTTCCCTACAGGATAAAGCCGAGTCTCCATAGGAATTTTCCCCCCAGCAAGATATGTATTTCTACAGTTTTCTACCTAAAATTCATCCAACCAGCCTTGCAGCTAGAATTTTTTCTTGGGCAGTTTCCGCTTTTGAACTATTAAAAATGTTAGCCTTCAGTTGGGCCTTTGGGCTAGCAGTTATCCCCGGAGCAAGGAATGGTTGCCTTTCTGCATTCCCAAACAGAAAATTTCAGACGTGCGAGAAAGCATGCTTTAGTTTTATATTCATCCCAGGAGGAACCGTCATCACTCGTTGTTTGCATGTTGGAATTCTTGGAAAGATGGATTAGTTAGCTTTGTTGAGTCTGTCTGGAGAATCTCGCCGTTTGTGTTGATTGCTTTATGTCAGAAGGATTTCTTATCTTCTGGATTGACATGTTGACACTAATAGAGGTATAAGGTATAATACTAAGGTCAAAGGGGGATGAGGAGAGCAAAATGCAAGTCTTTCAATGGATTCATTTGCAGTTTGGGGATACCCACTTCAAGGGAGTTTGGAATGAAATGGTTTTCGAGGCTTCGATTCCTTGATTTGCCAAGAGAACAGCAATATTAACTCTGCAATAGCCAAACAGCCAATAGCAGGGAGTCAACTGTATGTGCAGAACTTGTCCGTCGAGCAATGCAATTCATTCGCATATGGATCTTGGATGAGTTTTTTTTTAATGAAAAAGGAAACATCATTATCCATCTCCTCCAATCTAAACTTATGAGGTTTCTATTGATGATATCACTCCAAACCTCTTGAGCTCAAATGGTTTTATAAAATATAATAAAGAATGTTGCATCCCACTCTTCTTTCCGTCGCTATCTTCATTTTGACATTGCATCATAGTCAAATCAATGACGATTGTTTTTCAATTGATCAACTTCGTGTTGATTCACAGAAACAAGGGAAACCACATATTTTCAATTGTAACTGATCTGATGTCACGAAGGACACGTATGGGAATATGTTTAACAATGTTAATCTCATTTTCCATAAATGCTAATTATGAACCAAGTTAGATTAGGATTGAACGAATCCAGTGTATGACACTCATATAGAGATTGGTTCAATGGTTATGAACATTCACACCGGCAGAGGGGTGAGGCCCACACCCATTCCCTCATGCACCGAATAACCTTCACAACGGGAATTCAACATCAGGTACGCAATTCTCACAGCCCAGATTCAAAACAAGGAATGATAACGTAGAGTAAGACTTTTTTTTCAAGAAAAAGGCTCTAAATCATCCTTTCGAACTCTTGAAGGGAGACTAAAGACGGAGCATGAATCAAAGATTGCTGCTGGGGAGGTTGTTGATATTGCCCTGAAGCATTTGCTGGCCCAGACGCACTGCATGACGTGCACAGCCGGGTGCTAGCGTCACACCATAAGCACCATGCCCGTAGTTGTGTACAACCTGGGAATTGTTGGTTGAAATCACGTTCGTTAAAGATCTGCTGTTGCAGACAGGAAGAAGAACGGAATGGACTCACCTTGAGGGACTGCTGGCCGTATGTGAGAACTTCTTTCTCGCACCGCACTTGATATCGTGTCGGTCGGAAGCCAACCCAATGCCGGACAACAGTGGCACGTTTCAGGGAAGGAACCAAGCTCGTGGCTCGTTCCCATATCGAAGCTGCGTCGTGAGGATTCCATTCTTCCTCCCAACTCTCATATCCCCTTACTCCTCCAACCGAAAGCTCGTTCACACTATTGAGCAGAACGCATGCATTCGTAAACAATGTTTCGATACATTCACAAGACGCTTCAATCGAACCAGCTGCTGCAACAGTATGCAATACTCACTTTGGAATTATGTGCGTGTCCACGTCTTTGTAAAAGGCAGCTTTGATCCAGGGTGCCTTGACCTATGGGAACGGAAATGAATGAGAAGACGGTTAATTTTTTTTTCGGAGTGATGATGCATGTCAGGAGTCACAGGGACAGCTACAACAAGAGGAAATTCCCTCACTTTGAACAGTTGCCCTCGCACAGGAACCACGTAGGGGTCATTGCACAGCCATTTAGCACCAGTCCCAGTGCAGTTGAATACAAGATCGAAGCCCATCGGGAGAAGCTCCGAGAAGTTTGACACCTTCTTCTCGATCACTTCTGCACCGAGAGCCTTCACTCTGGAAGAGCAGAGTTCCCCTTCTTTACGGACGAGATTAGACGCGAAATCTTTTGCAACATTTCGTCGGCATGATGAACGGATTCAACATTTAGTTTCGTCGTCGTTCCCATCTTTCCTACCTTTCTAGGAGATATGGCATGAACATAGTCATTTCCATGGAGAAGGACACGAAGTAATTTCCCCCAATCCAATTTCCAGGGCAAAGACCCAATTCTTCTGTGGTCATGGAGCGGAACGAAGGAAATATCCTTCGCATGGTTGGAGACTGCACGATTCCAGATTCAGCGATGTGAAAGGGAGGCAGCAAGGAAAGGGCGAAACGAGTAAATGAATAAATCATGGTTACTTACTTCCCCGAACTTGTCAGAGCTGATGTATTGATAGACAGGGAATTCCGTCATTCCTGCTTGGACCCGGTCGGGAGACCTCAATATCTTCTGATAAACTCGGTAAGAATCTTCACACCATCTCCTATAATGGGTGACACGGGAAAAGTCCTTGTTTACTAACGCAAAAAAAGGCGCGCGAAATCGGCATAGTCCAGAGAAAAGACACTGACGTGGTTATTTCGGGTGTTGGTCCCATATAAACCCCTGGGGGTCGATAAAATCCCCCAGGATCTTCACTTGCCGTCCCTTTAATGAGCTTGTCAGCGATGACCATGAGACGCGCGTGAGGCATTTCTTCTTTTATCGTCAAGGCAGTGGTCAGCCCAGATACTCCTCCCCCAATGACACAAATTCTCCTTCCTGATCCTGAAGCCATCTCTACAGAAGCTTTTAGACTGCGTTACCGAATGGGAATGGTAACGGGGACCTGTGAAGGGGAAAAGCATGAATTCAGCGCATGGTGTACAAAATGGCATGGTGTACATATCATTGTGGACGAAGGGAGCAGACATTGCTCCACTCGCATCGGACATGCGCGGAACGTGTAGACAGGTATCAGGCAGCATCCCGCACTTCTCCGACTACCTACGGTGAAAGAGGAGTAAATAGTCGGACCTTCAAGGATCGTATACTTCTGTCACCGCTACATCACCGTTTTCCACAGAATGCACGTTTATCCCCCGTCCATAGGAGACGGGAAGGGCTTGGGTCGAAGGGTGAGCATGCGCGCAATCGCAATCCTCATTCCCCTAGAGTACGCAGGTCTTCTGCATCGGGATCGAACCAGCACCATCGCCAAATCCGAACTCGGACAAGAATGAATGACTGTAGCAAAGAGGTTTCGTCGGAACGGTTCCTTTCGGAGGGCAAGGGGCGTAAAGAGCGTAATTGGTATCAGTTCGATTCCACACGCAAGCCTTGCGTTTGTGAAAACCCTTGGATGTAAGTGGACATGAGTATGCTCGCTTACGTCTACTTACCTGCCCAAACATGGACACAAGACTCGCTAAGTGTGAAATGCCCTTAACATTTGCGGAGAGACGCACCCACGCAACTCCTTTTCCATGACTTTTGAACTTTCTACTCATACTAGTACAAACCTTTACCGAACTGAAGTTAAAAAAGGAAGTGAATACTCCACGCAAACGAAAACGATGCCATTGACCCAGTGGTATCAGAGCCCTATTTCGCAGATAAGGTAAACGTTTTCCAGGACCCAAGAGAGTGGTGGCGGCGTTCGTGGGAACTTCCGGAGCAGGTCATGCCGTTCCATGCTTCGCATATGGTTATATCCAGATTCAACCTGGATCGCAAAAATAATAAATCGCGTCCCTTCCCAGCTTCTCGACTTTCGCGAAGTTGCCAGTATTCCAACAAAAATTACTTTTGATCTAAACGGCACAGTTAAGGAAATACGAGAAGTGGATCATGCACTGCACGGCACAACACAGAAAACATTGGTGCATGCGGAACGCTTGTCCTTTGACTGTCCAAGGTTGAAGGAGACCCCAGATGAAGGGAAGAGATAAGAAACCTGTCCCTCTGAAGAAAATAAAGGCTGAGATCGCACGTCTGCCGCTATGAACGTGGTGAAACGGGACCGACCGCGCCTCCCAGAAAATCCCAGCATAAAACGGCTGAATAGAAAAATATAAATGATGTATGAAACAAATTTTTCTCATTCAACCGTCCACAATGTCACGTCACTAACCAGAAAAATATAAATTCCAAAAGAAGTTACAGGGACTCAAAAGTCCCGCTAGTTCTCAAGGCCGTGCATTTCTACATAGCCCTCCAAAATAAACAAAAAATGTTAGACTCCTGAGTCCCACCAGGACAGGACTGAAAGGGTTAACTGTAGGCCTAGTCTGTATCGGGATTTCATTAGGAATGTGATTCATGATATAAAAAATATAACAGCTGATGAGAAGTATTTATTGAGTGTTGCCATGAGGAACTTCCTTGTCTAACATGACGTGGACAGGAGCAATGCCACGTCGAGACAAACGCAAGACGCCGTCATGAGTCTCGTCGCGTCGAAGGGGGGAGGGGGTTTCAGGGGGGGGGGGGATGGCCCTTGAATGTTATCGAAGTGGGACGTCACGTCACTGTGACGTCAATGTCTCGTCCACGTACCGGACTTGGATCTGAAGCTCTTCAATGAAATGATTGCGAGGTGGGGCACAGAAGAAATCACTTTTTTTTATATGATCAAGAGGTTTTTTTTTCCCGTTGATTTATTCGTCCTTTGTGCTGGCTCTTGTAAAAACCAAAGTTTGCATCATTTTGCATGCCCATCGGTTCAAGTGAGCGCGTATGCTCGCAAATCTTAAAAAAAAATAAGCGAATAATGGCTGCATCAATGAAAGAAAATCAACTCTTCCCCCCGGGTCGACTAGTTAGGTAGATTTCCCGCGAAAGATTATTAATGAGCATGGAACAAGGCTCCCGATGGGGGCATACTGCGTCATGGTCTAAACACACACTGTACGAACGTAATCCATGTTTGACCCCTGGTGAAGAAGCGCAGCGCTTTTGCCTTCAAGGACGCCTGCTGCTTCGCAGCATTCAAATAAACATACCACGTAAGGCTTAACCCGGCGGGATAACTTGGGATTTTATGCGGAGCAGCTGCAGCGGAACTCATTGTGATCTGCAAGATGGGAAGGAAGACGCGGTATCTGTTCCGTCATCATCCATCTTCCTGTGTTGAACAGGAGAGTTGTCGACGATGGGTCTGCAATCTTTCATGTCGACGGGAGTAGACCTACGTAATTAGTCTGGGGCTTCCTCCCTTCTTTCCTCAGTGAAATTGGCGTTGCTCTGATGTGTTCCTTCCTCGTCCGGACATGAGGCGTTCTCCCATTCTCGCAACACCGATCCTAATTTTATCCTGTTCGCTTTCGTTTGTGAGGTGTGGGAACGCTTCACCCCTCGTGAGTGGAGGGACCGAATCCCGTCATTACGGGGGCCTCTGCCCAGCCGGCATATATTGTGACTGATTCCCTCGTAGCGACCAGACGTCTTTGGTAACGACAGGATAAGACGGAGGTAGAAGATGCAGCGAAATGTTTGCCTCGCTGCAACAATTGTGGTCTGTTCATCTTTTACGTCTACACGGTGTTTAAAAAAAGGTGCTAAATCACTTTCGCTGACAGAATGACAGCATATTTTATCAGATCGACCTAATTTTTAAACACTGCATGCGGATAGAAGAAAGAAGGTACGTACTCAATCAGTGTCGGACTGGCCCACAGGAATACCGGGAATTTTCCCAGGGAACCCCCAGGTAGCCAGTCCGACCCTGTGCCTAATTTGGAGGAAACTGACGCGTTGTATCACGTTCTATGCCAGTTCAAAGTTTATAGGTAAATAAGTGTGCCGTACAGGTCCGCTGATGCGCTCGCCTCACCCAGTGAAGCGAACAAAAGTCTGTGCGTGCCATACCAAAGAGCCAAATAAGCAGAGGGTGTGTTTTTCCTTCGTCTCTTAATTTGACAACAAATGTTTGACCATTCCTGGTATATGTTGCCAGTAACAATTTAGCAAAGTTTTTATAAGAAGATGGGTTTCATCTGATTAGCCCAATTTATTGGCCTGAATGCTGATAGATAACGGAAGGATTCTGCCGAAATTGAAACAAATCCATACCTAAAGTCACTGCACGTGTTTAAAAGGGTTCCCACGTTCTTGGACGCGAGCTTGCAGCCGCTGTCGCCGTTCTTGAATTGCTCCATCTGCATCGATGATACTATGCTCCGGATGTCCAGTGCATTTTCTTACCCTTCGAGACCGAAGCGGTGTAGTTCGTGACACATTGGGTCAATTTCCTTCAAATTTGGCAAAAGCTTTATTTCATCTATCCACATGCAGTGTATGAAATATTGGACCAATCGGATACAATGTAAAATCATTCTTATAAAAATATACAGTGAAAACTCGTTAACTCGAATCCTGATAAGTCGAAATTCCGCTTATCTCGAAGTTCAATGCTTGGTCCCGGCGGAACTCCGTAGGACACCATGTTAAAAGCTCCGTTTAACTCGAATTCGTTTATCCCGAATTTCCGGGTATCTGGAATAAATGTTCACTCCCTATAACGAATTTCTCACGGTTAACTCGAATTCAGGGGAAGAAGGGGAGGGGGGGGGGGGGAAATTCTTCTCGTGGGACTTTTCCATTTTTTGAATCACAAGAATGACAAGAAACCCGTTCGGGAGGATGCTCTTTTGTTTCTTTTGCTGCTTCTCCCTCCTCCCACACAGACGCCTGTGGAGAGGATAAAACCTGAGGATTAAAACCGAAAAGCTTCGGCTATAAAAAGCCTCCAACCATTCGAGCCATTCTGTCCCCTATGTCCCTTAACGTGTGTGTGTGTGTGTTTTTTTTTTTTTTGGGGGGGGGGGGGGGGGGGGGTTGT